GCAGAGCAGAGTAGAATACCCGCCAGTAGGGTGACAGGAGGTAGAACCAATGATGACTGCAGGTTCATTATCCAGTGTAGTACAACCGACGAACGTCGGTAAGAGTGCATATAGATGTATATAGTGACATAGAGAAATAGAATAGAATAGACATGCGTGTGAGTTTACTTTAACCTAGCAATTCCTTAAGTGTTACCCTCTTCCTTGACGACTCCAGGACCTCCCAACACTCCGGCGAATTACGAGTTAAGCCAGGACAGTGACGCAAGCTATGATAAGTTTACTAGATTTCTTGAAAATAACAAGATGGTGGCAGCATACTAAACAGGGTGACAGAGCGGGATATTTCCACGCCCTCTGTCACCTCGGCATAAGAGAGGTGTAGCGGCGGCTTAAGAGAGGTACAGTGGCGGAAGCGGTGGAGGTACCTCCACCCCCCCTTCACGCCATAACAGTGGTGGCAGCGGTGGGATACCTCCACGCCCCCCTGCCACCACGGCGTAAAATGACGTAATGGCTAAAAGCTGGAAGAGCGGCTGTTGTTAGCCAGTGACCAGTAATCACGCAATTGCATGAATGAACATTCAGGCTAACCCCATGCGATGGGTCACAAAATAATACAGCAACTGCTGTAAGCGGTGTTTTATCAAACGCTACCTAGCAATATATACATACATATACACTATAGTTATGTGTAAAACTGTAAATAGTAGGTGTTCACAAGAAACCAGACTCTTTGACAACTGACTGCAGAATGCTGACATGTAAAATTGTACATATAGATGACTTGTGCTACTGATTTTGACAGCACTGACTACACTCGCAAAGGTCAGCAGCAACTGTAGATGACAGATCTGTTCTATCATCAGAGTGCATCCCTCAAACCTGCATCTGTCTCACAGTAACAAACAATCTGGTCTTGGGTCCCAGATGTGGCTTGACACCAAGACACACTGGCCGACTGTCAGTCATAACATAACTCTGACTCTGACTTTGACTTGCATTTACATGATAGACAGACATCAATCCAAACCCTGTGTATAGTAACTAAAATGTGAAAACTGCTATAAGTTGGAGGCATTATCATACAAAATGTTAGGTACACTCCTGACTGATTTCTATACAAACGTACATATACCAAACAGAAAGCTAAATAGAGATTTTGTACAGCCACCATGCTGTTTCTGTATTTACAGAAATGCAATTTACTTTACTGAAAGATGCATACGCCTGAAGGTCTAATATTAAGTGGTGTTGAGTGATACTCCCACCTCGTGAGTTCACAGATATGCCATTCTGGTATTATTGAGGCTAGAAAATTAAGAAGCACAAATATAAGGTGGCCACTATCCACATAGTGAAAAGCACAATAGGCCATTGAAGGTCACAGTGCTAGGGCCAGTTTTATGGCTCACCCCTCATACTCATCCACAGTGAAACTCATCAGACTTAAATATTTTCCCATAACTTTTATGTATATCATAACCTATGTCAATAAGTTACATACACAGAATTTCATTAATTTAGGTTTTCTGAAGAAATTAGTTAACAACAAAATTAAGTTTTATTGTATACATTCACAATTCAACCTTGCTCAATCAGTGATCCACTTGAAAGATAATTCTCACTATAGCAAAGAAGCCCAATGTAAACAGATCTGATATGTTAAAATCTTGGCCAGCACATCAGTTATACTGAAGTTCATTATAATTTCCTCAATACTTCTACTTCGGCCAGGCATAGAAGCCACTTTCATTTACTTTACATTACAACAATTTATTTAAGATTCATCTTAATATTATCTTTTGATATCATTCTTTCCAAGAGATTCTGCCACCGAAATTCTGTATGCAATTCTTAACTTTGCCTTCCAAGCTACATGTCCACCCGTTTTTAACCTCTTTTATTTCAAAATCCTACCAACATTAGATGATCCATAAGTCCTCATTATGTAATGTCCTAAAGTCTCCAAATACTACATCACTCTTAGATACATCAATTTTTCTAGACATTTTGCTTTCATAAACTCCTAATTTATGTCCCCCTAATGGTGTTGAAAATCCAGAAGTGTGTGTGGTTTTATTTTATTTTTAAGTTGGTTACATAATAACGCTGTAAGTATATAAAGCTACTGGTGATATGACTGTTACTCATTTATACAAATAAATCAACAGACAAATACATAATTCCAACTGCCAATCAAATGTCTATACAACCAAGATACACTGGAGGACATATCCCCATGCCTGCAACTTGAATTACACTCACCTGCTCCCTGAGCGAGTAGTAGTTGTGCAGTGCTTATGGTGCTGGAGTTATCTGTTGGCAGTCGAGACCCATCCCCTTCGGGCAAAAGTAATCGACAAGGCAAAGCCATTGGCATCAAGGAGTGCTGATACACTAGGGCTGACAGTGAACCTAACAACAGAGTATTATACCCTCATTACCAAAACAAATTTCTGTAACTAACACGCTTCTAAAACGAATGTACTACTGGGCATACTGAACAATGTTACTTACTGGAAAAGGCATGACAATACTTTCTAAGCACCACAGCCAATGCCTAAATATATATATTTCATTTGTGGTTTAACACCAGTTTCAATAGATCAGATTAGACAGAGCTGAATGGTAGCAGAATGTTCAAGAATATATTGGAAAGGGTGTCCTGATATGTAGAACTATCCTGAGATTTCCGTGGAAGGATTAAGGAAATCTACACAAAAAAATTTAATCATGACAGCAGGTTTCTAGGCTATAGTTTGAACTCTTTAATAACTTCTGAACATGAAGCAGCAGTGCTAACTACTCAGCCGCAGTATTCAGTAGATATTTTATCTACATCATATATTTTTAACTACCTTCACAGTAAGAGTTCAGTGCTGATGCAATGCGGTAAGATCATCTCTACTTCAGTGATTTCCATCTAGGTGTACATTCCTGGCATTTTTCACCATCATGCATTAGGATTTAAATTATATGTGGGGGTACGCGGTAGCATAGTGGTTAAGGTACTATGCTACAAGCTGGAAGGTCGCAGGTTCAAGTCCTGATGAGGTCATTGGATTTTTTTCAATTGACCTAATCCTTCCGGCCGCACTAGGCCCCGGGGTTTACTCAGCCTCTAACAGAAATGAGTACCAGGAATTAATTAATTAATTTTCCTGGGGAGTGAAGCGCGGCCGGCGTGTAAGGCCGACAACCTTACCGCCATCTTTGAGCCGACTGTCAAGGTAATGTGGGATCCTTAATGTCTCACAACCCTATGGGCCTTCACGGCCTGTTACACGGATAGTTTTACTTTTTTATTTATGTATATGCAGCATTACAAAGCAAACAGGGCCAGAGGGCTATCATCATATGAGCAAGATACAGGTTAAGGCTAAGAGAGTCGATCCATGGGAAATGATAACCATGCTAAATGGATATTTTATGGGTTTTATGGGATGTGTTCAATAAGACCATGCACTGACAACCTTCAGATAATATCACATTATACATTCTGTTGTGAAACAACTGTAATAATACATACTGAACACAGGTTCGTTGCTGCATCCTTTAAGCTTGACACCTCGTGATGTTGGTTCAATGAGGAAATGCCGCACTAGTTCGCTAGCTGGATCATTTGTCTTGTTCTGGAGATTAGGAGGAGGTGTAGCTACCTTCAGTGCTAGACCAAATGCACCAGGGAATGAGTTGGAATCTCGCACTACAAATGTTCCTGGTGCTTGATCGCGAAGCATATTGATCGCTGTAAATCAAATTTCAGAAATATGATATGATATTGTGGGCATTACATAAAAAGTCAACACTGTTACTGTCAATTTCCATTTATTAGAAACTAAAGAAAATTGTGAGGTACAGAAAAAGTGATTAAATGAATCAATTTGTATAATTCTGTTGATTTCATACTGTAATACATGCACTTGTATCCTTATCTGTAATATAAAACATCTACATGTACCAAAACATCATGCGCTAATATTAATATTAATGCATGGTGTAAACTGATTTATTGAAGAGAGTATTAACCACTTCCTGTACCTAATATACATTACAGGTTTAGGCATGTAGCATTAACTATGTGTTTCTCAAAATAAAAACTTTAGATTAAAACTACACATGAAGAACGTTTTACAGACTGTATGTTTCTCTAATACTGTACGCTATTTTATAGCATATTCTGAAAAAAGTGATTTCAACTGATATTGCTTTTCTTCTAATCACTTGCTTCCCATGACACTACAGATATTATGGACAAGACTTTGAATAAAGTAATATTTGGAATCCTCTGCAGAAATGTATGAATAAAAATTATACTTTTCACAAAGAATGAACCAAACAATGAAATATCCTTATCAAACATTAAAATACTTGGATGTTACTATGACAGTTTAAAATCTGGATTTCATTTGTTCACAGTCACAATTCCGTGCTAACTGATCAACCAGAAACCAACTAATCTATCAACTGACTTTTAAAACATTCCTTATCAAATGTTTATGTAACTCACCTTCCTCCCGAGAAATTGTCGGCTTGTACCAGAACCGTGATGTATCCCTTACAAATTTTACATGGGCTGGAGAGACCTCTTGGGGTGGTTCACTGTTGGAGTGGAGTGAGGAGCGACGTGAATGACCATAGTATACTGTGGGTGAGGACTGACCTGTGCTCCCATTCTGTAATGCTGCATTCTGCAAATGTAATATAAAACTACACAATTGGTTTGCATTGTTATGTATAAATTTCAAGTTATCCCTGTATTTAATTAAGCAGAATATCATGAAGACATGGGGGGGGGAATGGAGGTTATTTCCACATATACTTAACCCTGCCATTAAACAGAGATAAATGATTGGTTTGTGTCCTAGCCACTCCACTGAGAATAGCGGCGCAAGAGTGTATAACAGAAGGGTTATAATTTTGAGTGTAAACAAGCAATTGTCCAATAAATATATTTGTCTAATCTGAGACCCACATAAATTTCTTGCCATGTTACCTAGGAAACACGCGACAATAATAATGAATTTCAAAACTGAGACAACACAGTAACAGGGTTAAGGAAAAAGGAGTAAGCACTTTCAACAATCTCCTGATCTAACCCTTAAAAACACTATGTCACTTCACTGACTCCAGTTATCATGGCTTACACAAGTAACATAGTACACAAACAATTTTTTTTTTCATTTAAACAAATGATCGAATATATTATCTGGCGCAATTACAACAGAAGTTACAAAAATGTGTCTATATGCTTTGATATGTCAGTTTGTCTGTGCATAACTCAAAAACTGATCTATGGATTACCAAAAAATTTGTATCAGGAGTTTTACTCAAATTTGCCAGTACATTCCAATTTTCATTAAAACCAGACAACAGTAATGGACACAGTAATGGACACTTTACATGAAGACCTGCATCAAAAGCATAACTTGCTAATTATTTATTGGAGAGACAAATTTTAATAAATGCTGTAGAGAAATATGAAATATACCATTGATGTCCAATACATTTTTGGTGTTAAGCTGGTTTTCAAGTTAGAGGAAAGGGATCTTTATGATGTGTTGGCTCAAAATTCAACAACAGTTGGACTGATTTATATTAAATTTTATACTGGAGGTCACTGCTTGCCTGTCCCATCTGTTTCATGCTATTTATAAGAAAGCATCAAAATGTTGGCATTCATGAATTTAAAATCTAAAAGCATTAAGTAAACATGCCAGAACTGTTACACTATACATACTTTTCCTAACTTACTGTACAAGTAAATGCCTTTCCTGCATTATTACCAAGACAATCTACTATAAACTAATTACAAAGATTTCAATCACCAAGTTCATCACTGAAACACTTCCTCTCGGGAATATAACATGCAACTTTAACAATAGCCTATGGAAAACATTTCTTTGAATTACACATATGCATGTGACATAGCACTTCCCAAAACACACTAATGAGCAAACTGCTGTATATTTCTATCTGTATTTGTCTTGTCTATATATATATATATATATAGGTATGTGTGTGTGTGTGTGTGTGTGTATAAAAGATAGATACAAATACATACAAAGTTTCACTCTCTAATCTTAATCTTACCTTGGGGCTCTGTTGAATGTAAGATCCATCAGACAAACTGACAGATGATTGAGATGTAATCGGGAATCCTGTTGCTGCACTGACACCAGTAACCCCACGGCCATTACTGCTGCCACCACTAGAAGTACTGGTGATGCTGATATTTTGATGTGGCACTGTGTTTGGAGGGGGCAGATCTGACACTGGAGAAGGAGAACGGTCCTTGCTGTGAAACAATAAAAGTATGAAAACAATTTCACACTAAGTTTTCACCAATACTGAATTAACAAAACTACTTAGTGTCTCCTGCAGTTAGGCTGCCTATACAGAAATTGCTTACAACTTGCAGTAGCTGTAGAAAATGATCAGTCATGGGGCTCTTCACTTTATAAGAATGACATACTGATAGAAAACCTATGCCACGGCTTAAACATGGGACCTTACAGACTTGAAGCAGGGTGATAAGTCACTGAACAGCAGTGTTTGATAATTGCATAGGTACAGACAATTACTACTCGTAGTTTATTCAATTCATTTTGTGCCTCAAAGTTAAATATCTCCAATTTTGGCCAACTTATATTAATACAAAATTCCTTAAAAAGAGATATATTAAAATTATAACATGATTAATTCAGCCACCTCAACTACACACATAAAAATGTAACTATTCTATCTGCATTTTGCTGGTGTTCCTGTTTCTACCACAAACGAACTGAGAATATTCAAAGACCAACTACCAATAGAACCTCCGTCGAGTGTAACAATATATATTCTTGTCACTATTTCCTCACATTTGCCTTACATGTTTCGGCTCACAAAGAGCCATCATCAGAGGCATCCACAACAAAAATATGGAAACACTTGCACTGCTCAACAATCACAATATACAGTTTTTTGTGGAAGATGTTACACGTATCGGAGCGTAAAACACAACAACATCTAGTACCCCGAGTGCGGGTATCCCACTTGCATTTAAAAAATCGCCCACAAAGCGGGTCGTTAATGTTAAAATTAAAGTTAAAACCGTCCAAGTAGAATATTCAGGTTCCTCTTAGTGGATTGTCCCAATGGGGGAGGCGTCAGCACGAGGTTGCGTGGGCTTGTGGTCGGCTGTGTCCGACGCGTAGTGTATTGTGTAGTGCACTACACAATACACTACGCGTCGGACACAGCCGACCACAAGCCCACGCAACCTCGTGCTGACGCCTCCCCCATTGGGACAATCCACTAAGAGGAACCTGAATATTCTACTTGGACGGTTTTAACTTTAATTTTAACATTAACGACCCGCTTTGTGGGTGATTTTTTAAATTGCAAGTGGGATACCCGCACTCGGGGTACTAGATGTTGTTGTGTTTTACGCTCCGATACGTGTAACATCTTCCACAAAAAACTGTATATTGTGATTGTTGAGCAGTGCAAGTGTTTCCATATTTTTGTTGTGGATGCCTCTGATGATGGCTCTTTGTGAGCCGAAACATGTAAGGCAAATGTGAGGAAATGGTGACAAGAATATATATTGTTACACTCGACGGAGGTTCTATTGATAGTTGGTGATTGATAGTGTAACGGACCAAAATGAAACAATTCAAAATATTCAAAGACATTTTGATATTATGAAATTGTGTGTATTGTGTATTATTACAAGTCTGTATGACACCTGAGGGTGTTAAGGTAATGTGGAAGAATTGCTCAGTAATTTCTGGATACAGTTTGAATCCTCATTCCCAATTACTCTAGTTACTCAAGTAAACTTTACTTCTGTGATATTTATGATTAAATTTTGTGATAACAACATTTCATTAATTCATGTATACTTTAATATACTCTGATCTTTCATGCTTGGATATTGTAATGAAAAATATTTCCCTACGAATAAGATTCAGTCAGAATAATCTTCTTAGATGCCACATGCTTAGGTCATGCATGCAATTTACTACATGCACTAAACATTCCACTGTGAATTTAATTAATTTCTATTTCAAGGTCAAAAGTGTGGTATATTTGATTGTTGATATTTTATTTTGTCCTTTCCTTTGATAATTGAATCTAATGTCATGTGTTACCAATTACAATGCTGAGTGCTTAGCCTGATGGTTATGGTGTTTTATAAAAACATGTGGTAACAGATTATTCTGTGTAATCCCGGTTGCCAATGATAGGGAACTGTATGTTTAACTGTTTTGCATTTTTACTAGGTGACTCAAGGTATGATGACCAGACACTAATAAACTATGATTCCAGCACTTGAATGTTATTCTTTCTTTAAACTGTTAACTACTATACACTGTGATACTGATCAGGGAACCACCAATATTCCAGGTGAAGAACAGGTACATCTGCTAGTCTGAAAATACTATGAAATATCAAACTGAAGGTTTAATTATCTTGTTACAAGAACCTGCCACTGAGCTCTATCCTGAGTCCACAGTATAGTTTTTGGGATCCGTTCTAATACTGTAATGGATTTCATCAATGTACTGAAAGGCAACAGCTCTGTAAATACGGTCCAACACGCAACAACAGATAAGGCCATTTTCTCTTTGTCATCCACACTACGACCAGTGCTGCTAAGGGACACATCAACATGCAGTCTGACACAAGACATGTGTTTTCTGTGTGGTCTGCACCACAGAACAACAGAGGGGCTGTGTTTTTTGTGTGTAGTCCGTGCCAAGCGGATATGAGAAATACGGGAATGTGAATGACTTCACTGGAGTTCTGAAGTTCCGAGAGAACAGCAGTGTGGCCAGAAGAAGAATCTGAAGACTAGTGTGACGTTATATGTGCTACAACTTTCAATGAATGCATCCTGTTGTGTATCATATATTATTTCTTACTGAAAACCATCAAAGCACAACATCAGTAACACTTGTAAGCAGTTCTAGAAGATACCTTTGCTACATGTTTCGGCCTTCAATACGGTCATCATCAGGCAAATACATTAAACCTTTTGTTATTGAATTGCATGTTAACTTCTAAGTATATACAACAGTATAAAATGATACGAGTGAATACAAATGTAAATTACAATAAAAGTTAAAATCTTAAATGATCAGTTACATAGTCAAAGGTATAGTTAAAAACTGTATATGTGATGGTACTTGGAGGTTGGTAGTTGCAATCGTAATACATGTAATACTTATACGGACATATTATATACATAATAGCTGATATGGTGTTCTGAGGTCCGTTGTTATGATGTATGTTATTGCTTAATATTTTATACTATTTGATGGGCAACTCTGTTGTGTAAATGTCTGATTTGATGGAGAGAGAGATTACATAGTTTAGCACTGTGACTTATATTTAACATGCAATTCAATAACAAAAGGTTTAATGTATTTGCCTGATGATGGCCTTACTGAAGGCCGAAACATGTAGAAAAGATATCTTCTAGAACTGCTTACAAGTGTTACTGATGTTGTGTTGTGACAGTTTTCAGTAAGAAATAAAAAAAAAAATACATGTGCTATAGTTACAGTAATCTAGGGAGTGTAAGAACTAATTATAGTTACGACTAGTGAAGATCCAATAAACCGATTCACCAATCCAAACCTGCTATTTAGTCACTGATACACATGACAATATTATCCTGTCTACATCTAGAACTTGTAAAGCATCTCTTTACTTCAAGTTTTGACTAAAATTTTGTGCACATTTCTAATTTATCTTCTGCTTGCTACATGCCCCCCACTGTCCCATCCTCCTTGATTTTATCACTCTAACATAACATCCAAATTATGTTGTACTCATATAGTATCCAAAAGTGTTGGAATAAGTGACTTCACAAGGAGACCATGGATAGTGGAGGGATACAAATATAGTGAGGATATAAATGTTTGTTAGACAAATTTAAAACACAAATCACATGCTCTTTGTATGATATTAGAGGCATGTCACAACATAAAGTTACGTTCAGATCAAACTGTTATTCTTTGCACAATGAGTACAGTTGTTCTATTGCGGGTATTATGAGATAATATGTTCATCTCTTCCTTTTGGGCTGATATTTTAAAACCCTTCTGGTGTCCAATCAGAGCTCGTACTTCTAAAGTTTTCTTGCCAACTCTTCTATAGTACTGCATAAAAAAGCTCTTACTATTAATTCTAGAACTGCTTCTTTTACAATCAACCAAACTGGCTGTCCAATAGCCTAGCATTCCCCATGCAGTTAATCTATACCACAGTATTTACATGGAATCTCTGAAAAGAAGTCCTATAACATAACAGCATTGCCTTGCACGAGATTCAAACCTACAACTCTGTAAATCATTGTTATTAATATATGACATGAATGTCATAGCAGCTGAAATAACTCAGTGATATTACCCTTCTACATTTCAATACCACACATGACAAACTGTCTTGTTCAGAAACCACAAACATGTTTATGTGAACAACGATTTTAACCTTATCATCCAGAAACAGGAAAATTTAAATCACCTGGCCCTAAAAATGGGCTGGCAGCCAGATCTTAATTTAGGGAGCTGGTTAATGAAATTATAGTTTGGTTTAGTATGTTATAGTTATAGTATATATGTATAGTTATGTTTAGTATTTCAATGCAGATCACTAATTTCACTTATGAAATAGTAAAATCATAATAATTAATGCTTTAAGTACTTAAAAATATACTAATATTCTTGTTTCAAAAATTACATTCAATAGTCCTAAATCATTTTTATTTGTGTAATATTATATGCTCTGAGTTAAGTGTCTGAGATGTATGTTACATTCAGGAAATATGATTTGAAAGATACTAAATCATATGAGGATATACATGTATATACCACCTTCTTAAGTTAAATCTGCCACTGGAAAACTATAATTTATAGATGGTGAACCTCTATTAAGACTGACTAGAATTATGATCTTCTGGAATGTGATGATGTGTAACTTGATAAGTATGAATGTTCCTGAGGAGCTTTCCACCTCCATCATCAGCAAATAAGAGTCTATCCCACAACATTATTGGATGTCTGACAAATCTAACTGAAACTTAAGTCCCTGCATTATGATTAAATTATCACAAATCAATACTTGAAACATTATCACTTTTAAACACAAATGCATTTACAATATCAAAATAGATAAAACAAGACAAAGATACAGTGCTTAATGACAGTTCGTCTGTGCTGATACAAATAGTTTACATTTATCACATAACCATGCAATTATGAAAAATATACCAAGACTGCATGCATCTTTAAAGAAACAAACTATGAATCTGAAATATAACATGAGCTCTTTACCGTTAGCAGGAAAATTAATTTTTCTGTGTCTGCAACACGTATAAATAGATTGAGTAATGAAAGTGCATGGCTTTTCAGAAAATTACAGAATGATAACAATTCCACTAGCTAACAAACAAATTAAAAACGTGCCAAATGTCTGAGGTGCATTGCAATGTTGCCAACATGCATCTATATACAACCTACCTAGAAATAGAAGAGTTGGAAGGCCACTTTCGCAGATTTTTAAACGACCCCGAATTACTCAAACGTCTACAATGACCAAAAATGTGGAAAATCAGACAAAAAGAAAAGATCTAAAGATACTAAAATTAAAAGGAATACAGGTGAGCAAATGTAATTTTAGCCAGGTACATGAAAACTGAGGTATACAGTGCAGTTATTTCATAGTCACCATGGTATTATACTGCAAGGAGATGAGTGCTATTTGCCTACCAGTGCTACATGAACATTGCAATTATGAAGTTCAGAACAATATATCTCTTGCTTACAACACTAAAATAAAGAACTGTGTACATCAAAAACAAGAAACAGGCAAGTGAAGAAACTTATAACAGAAAGTGATATTGAAAAGAGAACAGTTAAATATGGCACATTTTTAAGCACAAAATGTATATAACTGCTTTGTCTGTAATTATTTACAAATGTCTGAAATTTCATATTACATTCACAATGCATGCTAGGAAATTGGTTTATATTTTAAAGTCTAGTCAAAAGAAATTATCTTTCGATAAATATTTTTATTGCTGGTGGGGTGGGACTAAGTCCCTTGTACTGCGGCCACTTCTGGCCTATTGTACCAGCCCAAGATGATAGGTGAGGGTGATTGTGGAGCAATCGGTGGAATGAAGATTGGCAGGGGAAACAGAAGTACTCAGAGAAAACCTGCTCCAGCGCCAATTTGTCCACCACAAATTCCACTTGACCAGACCCGGGATCGAACCCGGGCCGCCGCGGTGGGAAGCCACCGACTAACCGCTTGAGCTGTGACATTCTCAAAGAACCTGCTGCCTCCATTTTCAGGAAATGTGTAAATGCTGAAGATAGATACACCAATGATGGCAGTTGTATGCTTCCAAAACAGTCTAATTTGTACATAAACTGTTAAGGAAACCTCAATTGTTACAAACAACAGGATGCTATGTGAAGCTATTCAAATCAGAACAGAAAGCTGTGACCATATATATATATATATATATATATGACATGATATTCACATGCACCAAATACTCAAATATCTGCCCACTTAGAGAAAAAATTATAATAAAAAATCTCAAAATTTTACTTTCACCTGAATGTAATTCAGACAAATTACCAATATCACATAACAGCACAAGAAATTTCTTTCAGAAAATGGAGAACATTTAACTGTGCACTGTGTACAATTTGCTGACACTTCATTGTAACTGTTGAGACTTACCGCTGTGTTGTAGGACTCTTGGGAGGCAGCCCAGTGGAGGATGCTGGAGGGTCAAACTGCTGTGAGCTGCTGTTCACATATGGTGTGCGAGGATGTACTGGAAATGCTGGAGTTTGTGGTCGCGGGCTGCTTGACTGTGGAGGACTCCCAGTTTCATCGCTGACTGATGTTGTCCGCCATGATGAGAAGCTTTCCTCTCTCAACTGATCATATAAGAAATATTACTGTTTCAAAAACAACATTCGTAGGCTACATTAATTAAGACTTATTCCATAAATGATGCTTTACTTCNTAACTTCAGTGCTAAAGAATTTTCTGTGCCTCTCCTATAATAAATATTTAACAGATAAATACATACAGCTGAGATCATTTGGTCATATTTTAAGTATTAATTTGATGTCTATTAACAGATGGTCTTAATTTTCTGCAGTGTGCAACTACAAATTTTGTATCTGTCAATTTATCTGATTTTGTGCCCAGAAAAGAAAAGGTGTGAGATATATTCATCCAAATTAATCAATACAAATCATCAATCGATCAATCGATCGATCAATCAGTATGTCCTACTCCATTTCATGTCCAATTTATTTTATACTATGGCATGTAAAGCAACATTAATGAATTTACAAGTGTACTGTTATTGTTAGTACTGTAATTTATTTCAGTCATTTTACAAATTTCATCATTAAGATGAAGATTACCTGTGTATGTGTATGATATTTTGTCAGAAATGCTTGAGATTTGTTTTCAGAAAGTGTTAGGCTAGGTTCTCTGCTGCAGCATCAAGTATCCTGAGGGTTTTCATGGTTTTCCTCTCTTCCTCCATGAAAATTCCAGAAAGGATATGATGCTTCTTTCCAAAATCCTTTCAATTCATTATTCACCAATCATCATACCATTTGATGTTATATAGTCTGAGGTACTAACAGTGTCATAAAATTACCCATGGTCTTCTGAGATGTGATGCAGTAATTTGGCACACAGGTATAAGATAAGAGATGACTAAATAAAACTTTGTGTTAGTATTACATCTGATTCTTTAATTAATATTAAAATCTGATTTATGTTTATTAACTTCAGAGAAAGTTTTAGAGACCCTTAGCTGGACATACATGGCTAAATAATAACAGAAAATACTGACATAAGTAAAAAGCTTTTAAATTAAATAATGTATTAACGAAAAAATAATAAATTAATTAACTCAATGTGGCAAGTAGAACTCTTGAGTTATTCATCCTCCCACAAAATAAAAACAAAACCCTGAAACTGTAACCTGATGACTGGAATATTTTTCTCCAGGCACCATTCATGTGCCTGTTTGGTCACATAATGCATACAGATTCTTTATAGAAGACATTAACAAAGTAAAACTGTCTGTATGGGGCTCAGCAATAAATCATACTGAAATAAAAATAACTTAAAATAAATTTCAATGGGAAGTAAAGTTTTGACACAAACATATTCACATGCATATATCGGTATTAATATGGTATCTCCATATATAAATAAAGGTTCAAATCATGATGAAGCAGGGAAATTTAAAATGGAGACATATTAGTGATCTATATAATAAATGAGCACAAATATGATTTGAAAGCAATAACATGAAGACTTTCACAACACTATAAGAATGAGGTACATATCAAGCTTTACCAGTCACTGGCTATTCTTCCAAATTTACATTTTCATGTTTCACATACATAAATTAATGTAAGAACATACTGTTGTTTTGCTGATTCATGTTTGTGTAATGATATATGATATAAACTCTGTCCTAAGTGCAACAATTTATTGTAGGTCTTTCGTCTTGCTTTCTTCTACATTACATGTTTTGGCCGCAAACGGCCATCATCAGGAGTATACACTCACGTAGCTGTTACACTGCACTTAGTTTAAAATGTCTTCCCAATTGTTCCCTTTGTCGTTGCTAACAGAATCTACTTCGCTGATATTTGTCTGATTCGTAGATTATCTTTGTTACCTACACATGTCAATTTTGACTTTCATGAACTGGCAATTTTAAAGTCTTCAGTTCACAATTTTAAAAAAATTCCTTTAATTTTTTTTCCAAATTTTAGAATTTAAAATACTCAGGGTTACTCGCCCTATGTCTATAGTGCTGCAGCGGCTACTTCTTGTTTTCAGCACTGTACAGGTGTTACTCTGTGTAGGCTCCCTGTGTGCGTGCCACTGCTTATCTTTACTACGTGTGTAATGATATGTTATCTGATGGATACATTGTGTTCATTTTATAGTTAGACAATTTACGATGTGGATTATAAAGCACTGTATCACAATGAATGCAAAGACAAAAGCTGATCATATGTCAATAATGGTATACTACTAGAAATGTAATTCATAGTGAGCTGAATATCTGTTCTGATACCATAATGGAGCTTTGTAGCCACAGACTGTTTAGGTATATTATATGTGCATACCATTCAAGAAATTGTAAGCACAGACCGTTCAAGACAAGAGTTTAAGCATAGAATGTCTGAGATAATTGCACAGACTCTTTGAGATATATTACTATTTCATGAATTTAACTGTTGAAGTCAAAGTCATATTGCAACTGACAATTCACATTAGAACAATATTAGTCATACTTAGGTGCTGTAATTAAGCTAATTGTTTTTATCCTTTCAAACAAATAAAGAATATATTTCACGCTGTAATAACAGTTTATGCCTGATTCCTGAGATGTACAGGAAAATGGATGCTGTTTGCATACATCCTCTTAATAAGGTTAGAATGAACTAGCTAACTAGTAACAAAATATGCCATTGGAAACTATCATGATGCCTATTTTAGAATCCTAGCAGAGGATACTTTTGGGAAGAAACAAAATATGTCCTTTCACAGCCATCTACAATTCAGGGGAGGTGAGAGTGGTCGATTCCTCTGCTCCTCATCACCTTCTGAGGTCTCTGGCATTGATCTCATATGCTTTTCCTCTGAGCAAATAGTTGAACAGTAAGCACAAACAGATATATGCATGCACACACACAACTGTTCCTTTCTTCTCCTCTGACAAAATACCATGGAGTGTAGCATCAGCACAACTGGGGGTAGGAGGAGCAGGTGCATTCACAGGCACACATACAAAAAAGCATTTACTTCTCAGTGACCTTCATAATGTAAACTGAATGAAAACATAACAAAAATTTGCATTAGTAGCACTTTCTCATGCCACTTCAGTATGTAGTACACACTTTGACTATAATACTAATAATAATAATTGTGGGACACTAGAAAATTAAACTGTTTATCTGCTAAAAGGTGTCCATTTTCCCAGTAGTTTTGTTATGCCATAAAAATTTTAAATACAGCACTTAAAGAATGGTCAGAAAGACACTTTGTTTATTATTAACCCCCTTATAAATCAACAATCACTCACAGTGTGCTATCTCTTGTTTCAGAGCTTGAAGAACATACTGTGGTAGCAATTTCATCTACCATATGGAACTTTAATATCAAAATTATAAAATGAAGGCTAATGAAAGAAAATTCAAGAACATTTAAGTTAAGTTTAAATACTTTCCATCTGAGAGTCATATGTTGTCACATATATCCAGTTCTATTCTGAATGTTACATTCAACTACTCCAGGTGGAAGAACCAATGTCTCAAAATGAAAATGGTCCACTGTAAAGTATCTTTAATGTTCCATTCTTTCTGTTATTACAATAATGAAAGTTAAAAAAGATAAAGTTATCCTCATGCTTAATTAGTTAAGCACCACATAAGGGCGCATGTGCAACTGTAATTACAGCCCCACCATTTCTAACTTGGGCACTAGACAGTGGTTAGTGGTCCGCTTCACATTCATGCTACCTTACCCCATGCAAAACAGTCCCTTGTACCCAATATATAGGAGGCTAGGTGGGCCCCAGAGCCGGTCTGTAAACCACAGGCAAGAGAAAAATCTCTTGCCGAGCAGAAATCAAACACTGACTACCTGACCATCCAGCTGACAGACTAGTCACTATACTGAACTATCTGGGCATTATCACAATGGTACAGTATGAAATTAACTTTTGAATTACGGACTGAAGTGATCTTATTATGTACAAAATATACAGTTGCAAGAACTCCAATACACATACACAATCAGTACAGTAACTTGCATAATGTAATTCGCCATTTTGCACACACACAGACACATATGACACGACATATACAGAACAGATTCACTGTTGTTTCCCTGACAAGCTGCACACAGACAGAATGTTATTCTCGTTGGTTTGGCTCTTTCAAAGTAACTTTATAAAGATTTGAAACTAACACAATTATATCTCTTTTTGTTTCTTCAATTTAGTTATTTTAAGACACTGAAAATATCATGGCTATATAGTACCTATTCAGCATCAGGTTATAAGATAATTAATGAATGTGGAGCAGTAGATGGAAACAGAAGGGTGGGGGAAAACTGCAGTACTTGGAGAAAGCCTGCCCCAGCGCTATTTTGTCCATCACAAATCCTATATGATTGACCTGGAATCGAACCAGAAGAATTATGTCTGTACTGAAGCTTTAGGAATGGTGGCATGTAAAATTACAAAATATTCGCATATGGTATTTTTTAGACATAACAAAACAAACATTTAATTCTTTTTAAGAGAGACAGGTCATTCTGCTAGATCTGAACATAGCGATTTTCACCTTGAAGCTATTGTTATTACCTGTCATTATCATGACAGGATAAAAATTAACATACTACATGCTGGATATGCTATGGCAGTTTCTGATCAATCAGTGCATGATATGACAACCTCTTGTTCTGTACTGATTACATGTTATGTTATGATCACTGTTTTCTGGAATGTGACAGACAGGTACCAATAATTCAGAGAAACCTGCTGCTTCCATTTTCAAGGTAGAAGACTTTACTAGTAAATCTTAGTGACTTCCACTACAATAGCCAAATATAAAAATTAATTTAAAAAGGTAAAGGTAAAGTTGTTCCTGTGCTTAACTAATTAAGCACCATGCCATGAAGAAGTATTGGGGAGTGGATGTATAGAACCACGTTATCTTGACCTTGGCATTAGTTTGAGGTGAGTGGTCAGCTTCATGCCCTGGATTCTTTACCCTCGATGAGAGAGCCCCCTAGTACCCATCGAATAGAGGCTGGGTGCGCCCCAGAGCCCATCTGGACAACATGAAATGAAAATTCTTGACTGCACTGGGACTTGAACTCCAACCCCTTTGTCGCCCAGCCCATAGCCTGCCGCTGAACTGACTGTGCTATTCTGGCTCTACCTAAATTAATTTATTGAATAAAAATCAAAGATAATAAATATGTTACCTTAATATAAATTAAGAGTCGGGATAGCTCAGTCAGTATAGTGACTGGCTACGAGCTGGATGACCAATGGGTCAGAGTTCGAGTCTCAGTGGGGGTGAGAATTTTCACTTCTCCATGTCATCCACACCGGCGCTGGGGTCCACCAAACCTCCTATCCAATGGGTACCAGGGGGTCTTTCCCCAGAGGTAAAGCTGCAGGGGCATGAAGCTTACCACTTACCTCCAGCTCGAACAATATTATTTACTGTGTTGTCTTATAATTACAGTGCTTAGATTACAGCTTCTGTTTACTGAATTTCACTTGAATTATTGTCAGTATCCTTCTTACCATCACTTGATAAGTGTAAGGAAGTTAAAACTGTCCCATGCCCTTTAGAGAAAAGCTGCTATTCTAGCACAATACCAAAATTTTTAAACCATGCCTAGCTTTACAGTTCCCTCTATCAAAGCACCTGGAGTTAAATATGAATGTCTGACACACACATATACACCTACATCAAAATATTTCTGTTTAGAACAAGCAGGATCAGCCATTACTGACTTACAGCTGAACATACCTTGAGAAGAGAACTCATCTTAACAGATTCAAGATGTCTGCTGCAAGGATTATGCACAATACTTAATGCCAAACCAAAAAAAGTTAGGGAATGAGCTAATATTATAACAAATCCAATTGGTGTGCCTGCTTTAACTTAGGGCCTACACTTAAAACTCTCAAGACTTACAGAAAAAGTGTGACATAAGATGTGTTTTTCTCTGCGATATTCCTTCCAAACACCTTTCACTCTGATACATATTTGGTGAGTTACATGCAAGTTAAACCTGAGATGAGCAAAAAATATACGTGTAAGTAAGAAATTCACATAATATGACTGTTACTTTCTGTCTGCTTTTAACCCACAATGGAATCAGGTGTAAATTTTCAGTACAATGTCCCAATAAATTTTTACAATACCCATTCAGTTGAGTTGTTTCATGCATACAGACAGAGAGACAGAGTGATATTAATATGGCTCCACAGGGATGTGACTGTGCCTACAAATGGGCACTCGATTCAGGGGGCCGCATACCACACTTGGTTGACATATACTACACATCTCTCAGCCTGAAAGCACACTGTACATCACCTGTTGCTGCCATGCAGTGCTGTTAGTATTGAGAGAAGCAGATGCAGGGGCAGAAGTTGCGGCTAGAGAAGCCATGAGGCTGGCCAGTGCATCCTGTTGGTGGTGACTGTTATTGTTGGTGCTGTTGGTGGTAGTGCTGTTAGTAGCAGTTCTACCCACCCCTCCTCCAGCACTGCGCCTGAGCATGGAAGATTGTTGCTGCTGCTGTTGCTGTTGTTCCTCCACCATTGTGAGAAGGCCTGCAGAGTCAGCCTGTGGATCTTTGTTATTGAGCTCACCATGATGAGGCAGGGCAAGACCCAGGGGGTGAGCAGCCAACACTGCTTGAGGGGATGTAGGGGGACTCTGTTATAAGGGAATATGTACAAGTTAGTGGGGAGTAAAAGAACTGGTGGTAAGAAGTTTTTTGACAAGTTCTATGTTTATACCATTGCCATCATTTCTAAGGAGATATTAGCTTAACAAAAGTAGACATTTCAAAACAGAAACACATGTCACTACTTCTTAATTCTGTAACAAAGCACCATGGCATTGTATTTAGAAATAGGAAAGGTGAAAAGAGGCAAGCAAATTCAAATTTTTGTATGGTGTGGGGGAAGAAATGAACTTTTTATTCTGCAATCTTATTTACTTACAGATGAAACTGTGCTTCTGGAAAGTAGGCCCTATTGGCTCCAGGTCAGTTGTGTTTAAGAAAACTATCCCACTAACCTGCCAGGGAATGAAACCCAACCATCAAGTCAAAAGTCTGATTCCTTGACCAAAAGAAATATCAGAATTCAGGAATCGTTTTTAAAATGATGTATTGCCATAAAATATATTCTTACTGGGTCATGCTTACAAACATATTCCTATGGGATCATAACGGTGGATTCCAATATGCTTGAGGAATATAGTGACTCCATTTTCTGGGTATGTTAAAGACTGAAATGGCATAAACAGTATGTTCCTCCAATACGTTATACCAATGAGAGTCTGTGGTGTCATAACTAATAGACAGCACCTCCATCTTTAAGGTACTCTGACTTACAAATCAACTTTTATTCAAGTTATGCCACTTACATGATACAAACTCACTTGATCTGAATTGAATGACTTCACATGACTTAATGGCTGTGTTTACTGTAACTGTTTTGAGTTGATTTGATGCAAAATTTATTTACATACATACATATATATATATCTGCTTGTATCTAATGATGCTTTGAATTGCTAAAGTTTATACAATCAATGACTGACAAATTGGAAAGAATGTAGATGTAATGATGGCCTAATTTTAGGCAAAATCCTGCATTTTGCCTGCAGGAACTGACCATAACTACAAAACCCTAGAGGGGCAGCATATTTCCAGGCCAAAATTTAATACCAGGGCCTCCTAATAGTAAGTAGGAGTACTAACCACTCAACCACATGCTCAACTACTGTTATTACTCAGTGTCAAATGCCCAACACACAAAAAAAGTGAAAAAGAAAGTGTAAATTCTAGATATGTAATTGATCAACATAGAACTTTTCAAATTGTTATTTACCTAATTATACAGCAAAAGAGAAAGAAAACTTTATATACAAGAACCAGATTTCCTAACTAAACCCACTGATCAGCATTCTTCTCTTGGTTGTTCAGTCACACATACCACATTCATCATTACTTCTTCTACTAACATTGTGACCTTGTGTCTAAGTCAAAAGGCACCATACACACAGTCCTTCTAACAGTTATCTGTGGGGATGACTTTCTGTACAGACATCATGTTCTATTCAAATTCATTCCATAAACTTTTACCGCAGTTTTTAAATACTGCTCTCAGCACAAATGCACACACACACGCTCATGCGCGCAGATGGCAGTTTCCAGTATGGTTATTGGTGCTTTTCTAAGGAGTTGCATGATGATATTCTTCCATTCCATACCAACAATTTTTAACCCACTTACAATGTAATTCAAATGTATTCACTGACATGTTAATAATGTACTCTATGGCACAAACAACAGCAGTGAACCTTTTCTTACTGCAATACATAATTTCCTTGTTGACAAACAGAATTCTGAGTGACTCTTTTGGTCAAAGTGAAACATTTCTGTCCACATTAGGCCTACAAACTTGTTGATGGTTACATGCTAGTGTCTGACAATGGCCTTCATATGTTGTAGAATTTAACCATACATTTTTGTTCAATGGTTTAAAGTCTACAGAAAACATCGTGTGTGTAAGGTCTGGTAATGAATTATGACAAATACAGCAGCAATAGAAAGTTACTGTGAAAATAAAACAATTGAGAATGGTCATGCTATTGCTCAGACAATCAGATGCTGGCTTCTCACAGTACAGCCCTGGGTTTAATTCTGAATGACTTCTGTTGAGAACTCTGGTGGATGAAATGGTACTGGACTAGAATGTTCTCCAAGTTTCTTCAGTGTCTCTCATTAATGATCATTCTGCAAACGCTCCATAGTCATATATCACTGGCTCCAGAGCTGACCAACAGCCCAAACCAAACAGCACAGTAACATATCTTAGGTCTTCATCACTTGTCTGGCATCTGGCTGGTTACAGCAAATAGAGCTCTCTAGGCTTAGCAAAGAAAATTGTTGCAGAAATCTCTACAAGCTCTTATGAAGATAAAGGGATCATTAACCATCACAACATGTCTGGCCAACTTCATGGTATATGAGTAAATAAAATCAGTCCAAATTTGCATACGAAAATATCTATCCCTTGGTGGGGACATAGTCAATAGAATTTAATGTTCCGTCTTATAAGTAACTAAATGTCTGGCAGTACAACCCAAGGTTCAACAGTGCAAATATCAAAGTCCACTACACACCTTTCGTTTTCATGATCTTATCTCCCTAAAACCAATCTTGTTTTCTTATAGTTACAGGAATGGTAAAAGACCAAGTCCCTTTAATGTGTCCTCAAACAGGGCTATAGTAACAGCCCCTAACAACTTATGGAATACAGGGTATTATTGGAACAGCTGGCAGGAGAAAACCAAGGTGCTCAGAAAAATGTCTGCCATATTGCTACTTTATTCACCACAAAGAGGATGATACTGGGTCTCGGAGGTGAAATGCTGGTGACTAACTGCCTGAGCTATGACACCGTGCAAGATCCATGTTATTATTATGCTTTCTCTTTGGTCTCCCAGCATCTGCTGTTTTCAAGGAAGTTTCCTTACCAAAATCTAAGAATATTGAGTGACCTGTGCATACCACAAAGTTCATCAGTGTGTAATATCCTAAATATCTGTTTGGTTCCTACTCCATTGCTCCTAAAACTAACATATTCCAATGTCATACAGAATATCCACATGGTTCAAAGGACTTACCTGCGTTTCTTTGAACTTCCTGCTCTGTTCATGGGCCCTTTTAACTGCAACGAACGGTCTTTCTCTATCAAAAGATGAATCTGACTTCTGACGTCCAAGGGGGCCAATTATGCCACTCGGGTAAGATGCAGACGATGACTGATGACTGGGAGTTGTGCTAGTTCCATAATATCTTCTGGAGGACGTTCTGTTTGGCAATAAAGGTGATGCTGGGGCTGATCCAACACTGTTCAGCTTATGTGTTGGTGATGTGGTTGTATTGATATGAAGTGGAATTGTGAAGTCTTCCTGATCATCATCATCATCTGCAAAGTGAGTAGTGTCACTGGTATAGCCATCTGCACGATGGCTTGCTGACGGACGTAGCACACGACTGTAACTATGTTGCTGGATGGTTCGGAGTTCGGTGATGAGACGTGATTCTTGTGGGTATCGCTCTGTTCGCATCTGCACTTCTTTCCTCTCCCTGAGCTTCTGCTGCTGCCGCTGTAACCAAGTCAGATTGTTGCTGTTGCTTGTGATACTCACTATGTGCCTGCAACACGAGAAATAATCCCCATGAGTTCACAGATCGACAATGTCAGCAATTATTTTTGAAGCTACCATAAATCCCTAACTCCACGAACAGAGACCTTCTTAAGATGCTAACAGAAGCTCAGCTGGTCAAGAAACTGTCTGCATTTAGAGAACACAACGACGTCCACTTCCTTGTCCACCAGATCTCATCACTGGACCCTATTCTGAGCCAGCGTAATGGAATCAAGTTCAGACACCCCATTATTTTAAATTAACATTTCATCTATGATTCGGTATTCCAAGGTTTCTTCTATTGACGTTCTATGACTAAAATTTTTACATTTTTCTCCTCTCTTAATATGCGCTATAGGTCTATATAGGAGAGTGCACGGAACCAAGGAAAATCATGAAGGGATACAGAGAGAGGCAGTTCCTGACCGGAAATCGACCCGGGTAATTCCTGAATGGGAATAATATAATCAACCGGAATGAAAGTTGAAGGTCTGAGGAACACCACGAAAAGTGTTTGGATGCGATTCAAACAGTGACTCTTCCAAACACAAATGGTGAACGAATTATACATTCGCCATTATGCTTGATACAAATCAGTATCGGCGCCATAATCACATAGGCTTATGCTTATCTTCTCTCGCAATGCACTAATTGATGAAGATAGAACACAGAAACAGGCCACGGAGTGCATGAAAGCTGACAAGGGACAGTAGGTCATCTGCCGACACAAGACCTCCGAACCGTATCTGCGAATGAAGTCTACGTTGTCGTCGTCGTGGTCGTCGTCATGAGTTTCTTGCACGACGTGCACGAAAGAAACGCGCATACGACTGGTCGTGTGTCTGTCCACACGTTTCAGCCCGGGAATGGCTGGATGGATTTTGATGAAACCTAGAATGGCTATGAAGACTAGTACGAAGATGGATTATACACATACCCAAGAGTTCTATACTAAATACTGTTTCTAACCCAAAAATGAAAATATGTCGACGGTGCGAATTATAGGTGCTATGTGCGTCAATTTTCAAGTTATCCACCCCCCCCCCAAGAAGAAAATAAATGAAAATGCCTGATACTTAACATGTTTTGTTAACATGAAGCAAAGGCATAAATAACATATGTGGAAACTGTGTATTCTCGTACGCACTACACCCTCCTAGTCTCAATATACAGGGGGAGATCAGGTTTGTCGATCGGCCCAGTCTTTCGCTTGTTTCGAGAACCACTGGACGGATTTTGACGAAATTTGATATGAACATTACGTCACTAGAGCCCATTCCAAATTCGTCCTTCTCAATTTCCCAGAATTGGTAATAGCAACGCTGCCCACGCGCGAACTGGTGAGGTGGGAGCGACACTCGTATGGCTACGAAATGCATTAACCATGACAACTGCAGGGAGCTTATTAAGAATAGCAAAAACAGCTATAGTGGTAACAACAAGCATAGCAATGACAGAAACTGCAATAACCGCTGCAACGGGCTGTAGAGCTTTTGGAAATGTATACACGCTGGCATGCGAATTCAGAAGGCCAAGGTTCAAAGAACGCAGAAAACTGCGAGCGTTTCAGTATGGACTGGACCTCTCTAATCTTGTTTATTTTAAGTGTGCTAAAGTGAATACAATACAACACAGATAAATCCGAAGGACTGCAAGCATACTGATGTGTTTGTTGGTTTAGTATGACGCTTCTGCTCACGTGGGAAATGTACACTTTATCTGGCAATGCAACTTGGGCTATTTACTCTGACAACGTGCTCAAGTGAACGTAGATTACGTCAAAGGACTCTTTTAAGAATGGTGATGTGTTTATTACGACCCTGTCTTTTGCAATGAGAAGTGTACTACTTATGCACTTAATAATTCCACGTTACGAACCCAGGGGTTGCTGAAACTCTCAAGTTCTCTCACCTTGAGTAGTTCCATTGGCTGTGAACCACACATGCAACACGCCCACATTTCGGTAAAATCGGTCAAGGAATTTGAAAGTTAATCGCCCGAAACACAAAAACGTATAGTTCTCTACTTATTGCCTACTCCATGTTGATTTCTTCCTTGGCTTACTCCTGAACCTTGAAGATGGAGTGACATATTCCATCGAAACAGCAACGGACTACAGGACGTTATATCCCAGAGGACAGAATTCTTCATGTACAGCCTTGTTTCCTGAATACACTCGTACATCTTTCCTGCTCATAAACTTTTGGTTCACTGTCGCGAGCGTGCAAAAATATCCTTCAATGCAGCCATCACCTCGTTAGTGTAGTAATTAGAGGACACGAATATTAGTAGTGAGACTTAAAGGATTGCGGGACTGATCCTCTCTGTCACCGGTAACCTCAAAAACAAAAACTTGCCACTATAATGAAAATCCAATACTTATACACTGGACTGGAGAAAATCCTCAAATTTCGTACCTAACAAAACATGTCATCTCAGACAATGGACAACTATCAAAGTAGCTGTGGTGTAATCTTTATTCTTCCTCCTAAACATAAACTGTCACTGAAAAAGTGACTATCACACAGACCCCGCAATCGAAGGCGAGAACTATCTACGACCTCTCGAAGACTTAGGTAGGTCGCACACCGGCATGCGTCAAGACACGATGTCTGCGACATGACGCAAAGAAAGGAGCATAGTTGAAAGGAGTGAGATTATGAAAACCGCCGCACACCGGTCTGAGTCATGATGCTGACGTCAGCTTCATGCTGATGAATCACGAATGAAGCAAGACTGCGCCTTTTGTCCCATGTCTTGATGCTTGTCTTGGCGCAGTTGGTGTGCGGCCGCCTTTACAACATCGGCTTAAATCCACTCGGTGCAGGGATGACGTATGTCCTTGTTCTTGTGCGTTCACCATTCTCCTTTGCAGCTTTCTAGGCCTTGAGGCCCAGACTTGCCGTCCAAGCAGTCCTACAAGACGACTGAAGGGCTGTTGCATAGGAGAGGCCAGAGGGTCTGATCTGAAATGGCTGCATAAGAAGAAGGGTAGGCGTTTTTACATTAGTTGTGGCCGTGAATGTTATGAACATGTTATTTCAGGGTTCCTGTTTCTCTCTACATATAAGTCGCCATGAAACTGACAATGAAAGAACAATGCCTCCAATTCTTCGTTGTCACGGGGATGTATTTATCGGCCGTTACTTAGCAATGACAGAGGTATACAGACAGACCTACTCTCCCATTTCATACGACACGAACAGTACAGAAAATGACGCATCCAAAGATTCTTCTACTGTTGCGTGCATTCGATGCAGCGGAAATATGTTCACCCAGCCGTTGCCTAGCAACGACAGGGGAATACAGACACAGACTGATAAGAGGGATTATTGAAGTATGCCGCTGAGCTTGGCTCAGGTGCTAAGATATAATACCAAGTTTCATACAGACTGGTTCAGAAATTCAAAAGTTGATAAGGGGGATACACACTGACAACATGATCATCTCAGAAGCCTGCTTTTTAGTTATTTTTTTTCAAAATAAGAAAAGTAGGCTAAAAGGATCTGTAAGTCACAGTCTCGTTTTATATAGTGTTATGTTTCACGTTGCATAATCTGAATTGGCGGCAGTCTTTTATGTTACAGCAAGATTACGACAGAGGCCGTGATAAGGAGTTCCTGTCTTTATGACAGCCAGAAGTAACAACCCCGCTACCTTACCACGAGCATGACTGTTACTACCAAATTTGGCCAAATCGGTCAAGGAGATTCGAAGACAATAAAACAGGGCGTAACACACAAAGCTGATTAACTTCTCTCGCATAGGACATAAAACAATAAATACGACTAGCATTCCCAACTGCCTCAGGTAGACGTAACTTATAACTACATATGAAAAGTAAAGAAGTACAGCCCACTCACTATAAGCCCAAGATGTCTTGTGAAGAGAGACTCCAATCCGGCTTAACCTTCGGCACTAAATGAAGGTTAAGCCACACCCTCTTTAGCCTTAAGGAAATAATCCTTGGCACCAAATGGGCAGCAGGCTGGGTGGATTCAACAGAAGATGTGGATGCGACAGCAAGGACAGAAATCTCCGTCCCCGCAGGGAACCGAACTCCGAATTTCTGGTCGTCCAGCCCATAGCCTAGTCTCTATGCTAAGCTACTCACCTCATATAAATAACAAACACAAAATTACACAGTCCAACATTATACACTACACGAAGGAACGTAACAATTACTAACACAAGACTTGCATAAATAATTACCTGGACTTCTTCCGAAGCCAAGCTCAGTTATTACCCTGCGACACAAGCTATCCTCCGAGCTGCTGCATTTCTTGGAAAGCTCAACTACCCGGAGCATTTATAGTAATCTTGATTTCACTGGCGCCAAAGGCACGGGGATATAACAAGTTTACACGCTTTATGGCATGTCACGATCCGCCGAGCAGGCTTCGAGAGCGTAGTAACCTTCACTTTACATCTGACTATATATTCTGAGGGCCACAATAAAATAACTGTGATAGCACAGACATTTTGCCAACATCTGAAGACCTACCATGTCATTTGTGTACATACCAGCGGGCTCAAACTCTCTGCGCGAAGGTTTCTTACGTAGTGCATGGGCTTCCGGAAGTATTGGTTTACAGGGGTTATTATGTAATGATCAGACAGGACTGGGGTCTCCTAGGAACATGCTGCTACCTGCTTAACAGCCTCACCTAAACAGGAAAACTTTTGTGCTCAAGGACCCGGTGACTCTTCATGCTGTTCGTTAAGACACAATCTGTTTTCATATATTATTTTACCAGATCACATAATTTGAACTGTCGAGGGTGATTGTGGAGCAATTGGTGGAATGAAGATTGGCAGGGGAAACCGAAGTACTCGGAGAAAACCTGCCCCAGCGCCACTTCGACCACCACAAATCCCACTTGACCAAACCCGGGATCGAACCCGGGCCGCCGCGGTGGGGAGCCAGCGACTAACAGCTTGAGCTATGGCGCGGCCTCAGACAGACAGATAAACAGTGATATACAGATAGAGAGAAATACATTACAC